ACTGAACTGAACTGAACTGATTCAGCCAGAATATCTGGAGGAAAGATAACCTTAAAATTCTCCCATTTTCCCCATTTATTTTTTGGAAGAGGGAGACTACCTAAATAGGAATGTTGCTATAATGCTCTTTCTTTCCAAATGTATGCGATTCATTGTGAACAGAAAAGAATCAGGTTTCAGATTAAATTCCTGATCTCTGGGCCTATTTCTAAGTTTATAAGAGGCAGCAAGACTGTTAACCAAAGTTAATGAAGTTAATGGGACTTCCTGGCTAGAAGGTTAAATTTTTACAAGAGTATGGTTGCCTGCTTTTGAAGACTAATCTTAAACAATCACATTATTTACTATCTGAGGGGTTTATTTCATCTTAACACAATCACCTGCCAGCCATAAAATAAACTCCCAAGCTAAAAGGACAGGCTCCTTATTGGAATCCTACACAGGGATTACAGTTCAAGTTCAGTGTGAAAGGAAGGGAGAGGAGACGGGAGAGAAAGGGTGAGAATAAAACCTGTCACCCTTCACATCCTCTAAGAGGAGAGCTTACACCAAAAAGAGGAATCTGGATTTCAGACAGAAAATGATGTGCTTATTAGAATTCACAACTAAAAAGTCAGAGCATGCACACTGATCTGGCTGTTTACGTATCTGAAGAGCTTTTTCTGCATTCATATCTACCCAGAATGAGGACAAAACTTCTTCTATATTTTTTCATTAAACTACCACCTCCTGCTATATCTAACCTTGACGGCAGCACCCTCCCCCAGCCCCACCCTCAGCCTCTTCAGCCATTGACCGTCAGGGACTCTGCTCCCCATTGCTACTGCTGCTGGAAAAGCGGTGGAGAAATCCCTGTTGTTGTTCCTATTTCACAGATAAGGAAACTGAGCCTCAGGGATGTCATTTTATACCTTCCCAAAGCCACAGGCTCTCTCTGCTTCCTATTCACCTAGTTCTTGTGACGTTCCCTTCTGCTGATGAAAGGAATCCAGAGAAATAGCGAAGGTCCACGCCAGCCCAGTATTCACACTGAGGTGCTTTTCCAGGAATGGTCTGTAGAGAGCGGTCCACAGGGCCCGGCCAAAGTGCCGGTGACCCCAGGGCTGTATGCGTGGGACAGAGGACAGCACCCAGGTTCCCACCAGCTGAGATGCCTGCCGGGAGCGGAGCTCTGAGTAGGGGGTGCGGGGCGGGGGCCACGCCTGGGGCAGCAGCGGTCCCCACAGCCTGAAGTGAAGCTTCAGGACCTGGTCCGTCATTAGAGGGGCTGCTCGGGGGAAACTGGGGCCGGCCAGCACCGAGCACCGTAAAGGGCAAACAGCGCCCGGCCTCCTGCAAAGCGCAGGACAGTGAGGCGGCCGGGAGCCCTGCGGGGACGCCACCCTTCCCTGCAGGCCGCCTCGGCTCTGCCCGGCGCGGGCAGCCTCCTCAGAGGGCACCACCCGTGAGCCTGCCAAAGCGGTGTCATTACATAGTCCTTTGAAGAGGGTTATCACGACGCGACACGTGTAAATGAGCTTATCTCACTTCCCCAAGGGCTGGCCGGCAGTGTAGGGCGCGGGAGGCGCTGCTGCTCTGCGTCACCCCCAGGAGTGCACTCCCGCGGCCCAAGAACGGGGTGACCGACCCGGCCCCTCCCGCCCCACCAGGCCAGTCAGTCCTAGCGACTCCTCGGGACACCACCGCCCGCAAGGCCGGTGCCCTCGGCGTGCACAGAGCTCATGACCGTCCCGCGAAGGGCGTGCCTGCGAGTTCACTACCCCCGGTGCACAGGGGAGCCGAGATGCGAGGGCAGGAGCCGGCTCGCCGAGCAGCCAGCAGCTCTAGCCACAGTCTCCCGCAGGCCGCCAGGTCAGGGCTCAGGCCCTCCTGCAGCCCTGAAACGGCAGCGCTGTCTCCGCGCTCAGGGAAGCTGGTGGAACGCCTCCTCCCACTGCCTTCCTGGTAAAACCTCCAACTAAGCGCTTCTCCTTTCTTCTACCATTCTTACACTCTCATCCACCTGCTCCAAGCTCTGCCTCTCATATTCATTACAGGAAGAAGAAACTCTTCTTTTTAACTGTGGTAAAACACACACGTGCTGTGCTGTGTTCAGTTGCTCAGTCGTGTCCGACTCATTGTGATCCCAGGGACTGCAGCCCGCCAGGCTCCTCTGTCCATGGGATTCTCCCGGCAAGAATACTGCAGCGTGTTGCCATGCCCTCCTCCAGGGCATCTTCCCCACCCAGGGATCGAACCCAGGTTTCCTGCATGGCCGGAGGATTCTTTACCAGTTGAGCTACCCAGGAAGCCCCAAAATACACATAACAGTTACCATTCTACCATAAGAGTTAACCATTTTTTAAATGTGCACTTCAGCGGTGATAGGTACACCCACACTGTTGTGTGAACATCTCCAGAACCCTTCATCTTGCAGGCTGAGGCTCCGTCCCCATTATACACTGACTTCCCTCCCCGCCCCTAGCAGCCACCTCCTAAGTGTCTCAGACTTCAGAACCTTCTGGGGCTAGGACAGAAGTTGACAAAGAATGACTGATACCTGAATTACTACGTGGGAAAATAACATTACTTTACCCAAATTTAGAAAAGCCAATCCTCCTTTCTTCCTCCCTCTCTCTTTCCCATCCTTACTTTTCCTAATAAGCAATTTTAATTCTTTCTTACGTGGTATGATTAATGAACAGTAATTGTAATATCACTACAGACACCACAGTGAACGATCTCAAGTGTTTCAATGCTTACATTTTTTTTTCACGTTTCAGTTTTATGGACATGTAATTGAGAAATAAAATTGTAAGAAATTTAAGGTATACATGGTGATTTTATTTATATATATATATATATATATATATACACATTGTATGCTGATATACAGTCCCCTCATCTAGTTAAATAACATCCATCACCTACCATATTTCTCTTTTGCCCGTGTGTGTGTGTGTACAGTGAAGAGCTACTCTCTTAGAAAATTTCAATTATAGAATATAGTGTTATCAACTAGTCAGCAGGTTCCACATCATGTCCTCAGACCCTACTTATCTTACAGTTTTCTCTGTGAACACCTATTCTGACCCATCATACTGATGTCTTATAAGACAGCCCCTTTGCTCCTTTGGCTCAGTTCTGGCGGTTCAGTTTACTTTCTTTGGAGGATACCAGATGGCTAGGACTGTCTTGGCCTTCAGGGCATTTCAGATTCTATAGGGAGACTAATGCAGCCCTAATTAGTCAGCTCTGGGGGGCTGAAGAGCAGTGCTAACAGATGGACAGAGGCTTCTCAAACCCGAGACCACTAAACTCGGGAAAGAAGACGGAGTCTGAGTTGAATCTCTTTATTACTATCCCCAATAATACTGTTTGTTATTTCTAGTTACTTTATTATAGTTTATTATTGTAGCATCTGTAGCCTCTTCAAGTTAATTTTTAGCTAACAAAGATACACAGACAGTACCTCATAACATTTTCCCCATTACTAAATGTTCTAATTTACTATTTTAGATTTTGCTCTTCCTAAATTTAGCCATTCTCAAATCCAGTTCTTCCCTGTCTCCCAGTAACTTCTTCCTTCAGAGTATAATGGAACTTATTTGTAATGCTTTATAAGCTCTTTAAGGCCAGAGCCAACCGCATAATGGCAGGTCATTTCTGTAGGAGGTTATCACATTTCAAGGGGACATAATCGGACTCGTGGTATGTCTGAGTCTCCAGAATTATGAGCTGTGTGGCAGCAGATTGGAAAGCCACACGTCCAGGCTCAGCATGGGCCTCCTTGGCTGTATATGCTCCACGTGCATGCTTCAGCTTGCAGAGTTTCCACCCTGGACTCCACTGACTACTGAAGGAATTGGAAAATGTATCACTGGTCTGTGTTAGACTACCATTCTTCTGGGCTGCAACTTCTCTAGAAGACAATCTAATGAGGGAATAAAATAGCATGTACTTGGCTCCTCTGTCCATGGGATTCTCCAGGCAAGAATACTGGAGTGGGTTGCCATTTCCTCCTCCAGGGGATCTTCCTGACCCAGAGATCAAAACTGAGTCTCCTACAACTTCTGCCTTCGCAGGCGGAATCTTTTACCACTGAGCCACCTGGGAAACCCTGTGATATATACGTGCAATGGAATATTAGCCTGAAAATTCTGACACATGTTACAACATGGATGAACCTTGAAAACATTGCATTAAGTGAAACAGTCCGGTCACAAAAAGACAAATAGTGTGTGAGGTACCTAGGGTAGTTAGATTCATAGAGATGGAAAGGGGAAGGGTGGCTGCCAGGGGCTGGGAGAGAGGACAGTGGGAACAGGTTTAATTTTGCAAGATGCAAGGCTTCTGTGGATGGATGCTGATGGTGGCCATTCAACAATGTGAATGCTTCCATGCTACTCAACTATACACTTAAAACTGTTCAGAGAGCCTTCCCTCATGGTCCAATGGCTAAGACTGTGTGCTTCCAATGCAGGGGGTTTGGTCAGGAAAGTAGATCCCACATGCTGCAACTAAGACCTGGCCCAGCCAAATAAGTAAACAGCTTTAAAAATTGTTAAGAGGGTGAATGTTATGCTATGTATATATCACCACAATTTAAAATATAATTATTCACTTTCAGGTTTTTTGTGTTTTTTTTTTTAGTTTAAGGGAAAAAAAAAAGGAGAAGTAAAGATGTACCTAGAGAAAAGGGAGGTGACGAGAAAGACTCTTTTGCCTGAATTTTAGATCTGGCCTAAGAAGTAGGCATTTCTGCTTCCGCCTTAGTTGGGAAAAGATGTTACAAGCCCCTCCTGTTTCTTCCATCGGTGGGTCTTCATCCCTCTTGAAGTCACAAACATACTGCAGCAAGTTCCCTACAGCCTCTTGAACATCTGGCCGGCGGCCTCCCTGGGGGCCTGATCGGCCAGACCCCCTTCTGTCTGGGGTGGGCTTTCCTGAGACACGCGCTCTGACTCCGGGCCCCCATCCACTGTCTCCTTCAAAGTGCTGGAAGGCCCGAAAGCAGAGCCGGGGAACAAGGGTGAGGATGACCTATTGTCCAGCAGGAGCGTCTGCTGGACGTGAGGTCAGAGGCCAGGGCACTGAAGAAATGCTCTCCTGCTTCTTCTGATACTGAAACGACGCACTCAGAAATAAAAGGTCTTTGCGTAAAGCAAAGAGCAGGGAAAGCCAGGCTCGGCGCGGAGGACGCTGAGCATGTCCTGAAGACCTCCTCTCACATGTCTCACGGCTCACTCCTAGGGTTCTCCGCATTTTATAAGAGACAGACTCTTGGCTGTTTCATACAGCCAGTTGCAAGAGCCCCCAAACAGAGAAAAGAGGTCAATACTGCCGCTCAAGAATTCAGCAATGTGGAGAGCTACGACTTCACTCCAGAGCCCTGCCCAATCTCTTATCTAGTCAGCTCTATCTCTAACCTATTTTCCTTGCTCCTTTCCAACAGATTAAAAAATAATGCATTTCTATTGCCCTTATTTTGGGGGGTGTCAATGTTCTTTTACCTCTTGGTTTCCTAATTACTTCTTCTAGCAAGTAGAGTTGTTTTAATTTATCTCCGTGTTTCTAAACAGATAATACTTACAAATGTCATTTTGCCTCAGTTTCTATAAGACACAGTGACCTGTTTCTCTGAGGCCATGCTTTCACTGAACTTCTCAGAACTTCCTAGCTTTATATTTTTCTCAAAGTAACAGTTTGTGTTCACTGGAAACATGCTTCCTAGAAAGTCTATCTAAAAATAGCATTATGCTTTGACTGTCAGAAATCTGTTCCACAATGGCCAAAATTTAATTAGGAGGTCAGAGGAATACAGACCACCTCAAAACACTTGTGAAAAGAAAACTGGAGGGAAAAACAAAGATAAACGTCTAAGGATGTACATTACTTAATGATGTTATTTAATAAAAGGCACTGTGTCTCAGAGAGCTCCAGTTAATGTCAAATAACTGAGTTCAGAAGCTCAGTCTCGTTTCAGCGGAGACTAATAAGACTGGACTTCGGCGGAGCTCTTCCCCCCGGGTGCGGGGGCGGGCGTGGGACACGCAGATGTGCTGGAGGCAGGGCTGGGCTGGGAGGCGAGCAGCGAGGCCCCAGACAGCATGTTCTCCGCATGAGGTCATGGTCCTCTGGGACGTCTGGGAGGACACGGCTCGCAGGCCTCTTGCACTTTCTTGCTCCTTAGCTCAGGCTCATCATATAGCCCCCCCCCCCCTCATTCTCAGAGCATGTTCACTTGGGTTATCTCATTTCTCAGTGATTCCAGCAGGTTTTGGAACGGAGGCACATACCCAAACACAAAAGCGCGCAGCATGAGGAGAACCGCCCCTCCGTGGGTCACTCTTACCTCTTCTCTGGCCTCCCTGGAGGACGAATTTAAAGAGCCTCCCCTCCTGGAAGGGGAAGCCTTGGTGGCATCTTCCTGCTGCCCAAACAGCTCTTCGACCGTCTTGGTGTCGATCTGGTAGTGATGCTGCTGGCTGGCTGCCAAGGTCCAGATGTTGGTTTTGCCCCGAACTTGCTCTTCTGGAATGGTTTTCCAATAAAAGCTTCTCATCCGCTTTTTCTTACCAAGCTGGCTGTAGCCGTTCAGGTGAGAGTTTGGGGGTAGCTCCGGAGGTAGCCGGCCGCCATGGCGGTGTTCCCATTGCCTTTATCGCTGACCAAGGAGACACAATTCATAACATGCATAGCACCGTCGCCTTCTAAGGACGGAATTTCTTGACCTTGGGGAAGCAGACACAGACATCAAACTTGTGCCATGCTTCTCCATCTGCTAGCAGCCCGCCAGAGAAAAGGCAACGGGGTCGTGTGTCCTCTTCCAAACCTGCGAAGATAAAACAACTTTCAGTTCGGTTCAGAACACTGCCACATGGCCGCTTCCTTCCGAGGCCGCTGCCTGTCCTCCCAGGGTCGCTGGGTGTTAAAATCAGTGAGGGGCTGCAGGTCCAGAGGAGCAGGGAAGGGACTAACACTTTTCTAAATGTGAACCAAATTTTACTACCTGGAAATGCTGCCAAAGCAGCGATGGTAAACCCCACCTGGACCTTCCATTGACCAATAAAACATATTTACCGAGAACCTGTGATAGGTTCAGCTCACTTTGTGAATAAGCTACTTGTTCACTAGCGGGCTCGCTTCCTTGGGCCGTGGATCTCCCATCCCTGGGGAGATTACCCAGATGGCTGCAGCCTCAGTGAGTCTACCTTTCTCCAGCAGGGACGTGTCCCCGGGCCAGCGGGTCAAAGGGCATCCTCCACCTTGCACATACGATAAAATAATGGCCAAACCTTCTCCCAGAATCAGGGCCACCATCTTCTACCTATACTCGGAGACGCTGCTTCCCCGCAGAGGAAAGAATGCCAGGCGTGAAGATGAAAGGTTCCAGCTCTAAACCAAGCTTTCTTGCTTACAATTTTAGAAGGGCCACTTCCCCTCACTAGACTTGGGCTTTCTCATTTGTAAACTTAGGAGGTTGGGATTGACCTCCACCATCGCTTCCGAAGCAGTTGTTTTGGGCTCCTGTTAAGACACTCTGTACACTACCAGACCATTTCTCTGCCTCTCCTGCTCCATCTGACACTATTAGCAGAGCAGACACGGGCACGAAAGGGGATGTGCCCAAACCACGCCTGTCACTGTAGGTGGAAAGCTTTACTGCCTGAGCTACCAGGGAAGTCTCCTTACGCCTGTCATGTGTCTACCGCGCATCCACTCAGTCACAGACTTATCTCAGTAGCTTGTGTTTTTATTGACCTTTAAATGTTTGTTTTTGGTGTTGAGCTGTTGCAGAACCTGGTGTGCAAACAGGGGTCAAAACAGCTACATTTCTTCAGCTATGAGGACAGGTGAGTGCAGATGCAGGACACAGGGTCCTGTGAAGCGCACACCCCACGTATGTGGGCATGCAAAAAGGGGGCTGCTCTGCCCAGGTGATAAAGGGTCTCATGGAGGGGCTTTTTAGCCTGGACCTCTGAGAGCAATCATCCTTCTACAGCATTCACTTACACATCTTCATCAAACACAGCAGAATTCCACAGGAGTAAGTGTTATTAAATGTTTTACACAGAATTATATACAAAAGGCAGGCTTGCCTTGGGAGTAAGAGGGATGACTCCAGAAACAGAGTCTCTTCCTCAGACCCCAGGTCTGCTACTTCTTTGGGGGTGCAACCTGGGGTGATGTAGATTGTTTAACTTACATTTCAGCATCCTCCTCTGTACTCCACACTGTAAGCATACACCGCTCCATTGGTCTGTATGAGATAAATGAGCGCATACATGTACACCCTTACCAAGATGCCTGGTACATAGTGAGCTATTACTAACAACTGGTATCAGATGTACATACAATTTCTGTTTATTTTTACAAGTGCTGCATTTGCTTTAAAATATGTGTTGGGTTTATAAGTAAAATGTTAAGTTGCCCTTGGCTACTGGAAACACACCTTTGATATTTCCAATCTCTGCTTTCTAGGTTTGTGACCTTTGTCCTTTTTCAATACTAAGTGATTGTATATTACATTTCTACCCATTACAAGAACAAATGTGTTTATGAAACATTTAAATATTTAAGTTCTAAAAATTATATATGGGTAGAAAATAGGAGAATTGGATAAGTTTTTTTTAGCATTTTAAACACTTTTAAGTGCACATCAGTGGCATTAAGTACACTCACATTGTTGTGTGAAGTGTCATCATGGGATAATTTTTTAGAAAGTAAAACTGAAAATATTTATCCAAGCCAACTTACAACTCACTAGAGATGCAACCAGCTTTCAAAAGGAATTTTCATAATTATCATTGGGGGCATAACTAGGCTGTTTTCATAGTTGGCACCCCTAAAGCAAATGACTCATTGTCAATTACAGTTTATAGTTATATTTGAACTCTTCTTCTCTCAAGACTGTACAGGTAATCTTGGCAGTTTATCCTTACATTTTTAAAAATACTTCTGTACATGAAATATCATATATAGAAGAATTGCTAATCCTCCAATTCACCTCCAATTCCAGATATGCTGACTTGTTTAAAGTCCCCGTCCTAGAAAGCAGTAACTCATTTGGTGCTATTAGTATATGCACAGCTGTGCCATTAAACCTCCCATAGCAAATGTGAAGATACTAATAAAGAGTGAGAAAGACTGTGCCCTCAAAGGTCATGCAACAGCACTGTCTCCTAATACCAAAGCCCCAAAGCATATAGGTTTTTTTGAGTATAGCCTTTTCTGCAGAGGAAGTACAAGCTTAAAGCTTGTCAAAGTAACAAGTGACACGAGTTAGTTTTGCATGGGCAGGATTCTAACCACTGTTCTGTCTTGAGAAAGAATTCTGTTTTAGAAAGTTAAAGGGACAAAAGAAAATTTACAACATTGTTCCTGGTATGTTGTCTGGCTAATTTTTTCCCAGGGTAACATACAAGGATCCTAGGCCCCCAACAGCTTCTAATGAATGAGTTCTCCAGCAATGATTAGCTAAGATGCTAATGCTTTTACTAGGAGCCTCAATGGGGCTTTGACAGGGCTTCCCCCTTGGGCCATGATTTCCAATGTCAAAGAGATGGCAGGAAAAAGAAAGTGCAGACAGACATTCTAACCCTTTCCAGTCCTATGAGATACTGAAACAGAGAAACACAAAGAACCAGATTAAAGCTTGTCCACAGTAAAGATGTAAAGGTGTACTCTCTAAGCCTGCTAGAACACAGGTGACGCAACAGCCCCAAAGCAGACTGCTTCACACAGTGGGCAGCTGCCTTCCGGACAAAGGAATTAGCTTTGGGCTCTATCTGGAAAACGTCAAGTGTCTCATCAATCTCCCCCAGGGCAAAGAGAACAGGCTTGTATTTAGCATCTCACCTACAGGATGGGGACCTTAGCAGCAGGGGGGACGGCTGCTAAGGTTGACAAATGCCCAACCCTGAGTAAATCATAGAGGTGTCACAATCAGTCTCTGAAGATGAGAACTTCTCTTCAAGTCCCCTGACTGCTCATTAGGACCCACTGGGGGTAAATCTGCGTGGAGGTCCCTCCTGGGGAGGTTGTAGCTCAGCTGAGCATCTCCCAACTATGGGTTTTTAATAAAGGGATGTTTGAGCCAATCAGTAAGCAAAAAGTCTTAGAATGAGAGTGTTTATAAGGGTCTTCAAAGGAGCCCCAACTCGCTTGCCTTTGCTCTTAGTATCAGAAACAGTGTTGAAGCTCTTGAAGGGAGTGGGTGGCAGGGAAGAAAAGAATAAGCATATTTCATTTCACAGTGTATTTAGGAGGAAATCATGTTCCTGAAAGCTCGTTCAGGGCTCAGAGCTTTCCTGAAAGAGGGTTAGTAGGGCCCTGTTGCTCAGCTGATCACTCACCCCCTCGGTCAACAATAAGCAAAAGTAAATGCCAGGGAAAACCTACCAGGAAAACCTTTCCCTTTGATTCCTGACTTGTGTCACAGAGGAGGTGGGAGCAGGAAAGGCTGGCCCACACCCTTCTGATGACAAACGAGGGCAGAGCAAGCCTGGTGTGGAGGGAAGAGGGAGAGGAAGCCCCAGCTCTGTCTTATTTGCGGGGAGAGGAGAGGATGGGAAGGTACATTAATTCTACAACAAGGAGTGTTTGCTCCCACCAACTTACTGGGAAAACGCCTCCCCCACCACCTATCTTTCAAAACCTTTCTTGATTCTTGAACACAAAACGTCAACCACACAGTGGAACCGGAGCTGGCAACACCCACCCAACTCTTCACCTTGGCACTTTCACCAGCAGTGAGAAACCCAAGGTGCTTCCAGTCCCCGCGGTTAACCGCCTGTCGCACAACAATCCACAGACACACCAACGCAACACCCTGGGAGCAGAGGGAAAAAACGCCTGTGTTTTGAATGTACATTTTCAGCTTCTCGCCGGGCGGGAGTCCACCGGCAGAAGGTCCCGGAGCAGCCGCCGCACCGACGCGCCCCTCCCCGGCCCCGCTGGGGTCGACGACCCCGCCCCGCAGGGACACGCGGGTCCGTCGGGCCGACGCCGGGGCCTGGCCGGACCCTGCGCCTCCAGGGAGCGCCGGGCGGGAGTCCACCGGCAGAAGGTCCCGGAGCAGCCGCCGCACCGACGCGCCCCTCCCCGGCCCCGCTGGGGTCGACGACCCCGCCCCGCGCCTCCGGGGCCCCCGCCGATCCCCGGGGCCCCGCCCCGCCGCGCCGCCCAGCCTGGTTCCCCCAAGCGGAGTGGGGGGCTCGCTCACCAGGGAAAGTGTCACTGGGCTTGACGCTAAAGGAGGGGGTCTCCCGGTTTGCGGGCTCCTCCGGCTCCTCGAATCTCCGCGGAGACTCTTTCCCGGGTCCGGGGTCTGGGTCCCGGGCGCGGGGGAGAGAGCCTCACGGCCGCAGTGCGGAGCCGGGCAGAGCCGGCGAGGAGAACAGACGGGAGACGCCTGGTGTTTGGTCAGGGGATTAAACCGGGAGCCCCGGGTCCCCGAGCTGGGGCACCGCGGCGGCTGGAGGTGACCCACCAGCCCACCCGCTTCCTCCCTCAACTTCGACGAGCGCAGGGTTCAACTTCCAACCTGAACTTCGCACGGGCCGAGCGGACGTGCCAGTGCGAGTGCCGCCTTGTCGTCGGTCCGCATCACCCGGACGCCGTCTGGCCAGCCCCGCACCCACTGGCAGGCGGGCCGAGTCGTGGCTCCCGCTGGCAGGAGGGCCGAGTCGTGGCTCCCGCTGGCCGGGGACCCGGCGCGGCGCCCCTCGCTGCGCGCTCTTGGATGGGCGGGGATCCAGTGGGAGCGCAGTTTATGCGAGTCCTCGCAGATGAAGCTCAATCAGCCAGCCGAGGTTTAACCCGGAGGCGGCCGGGGACCTATCTGGCTCTGTGTACGCGGGTCCAGACCGGAGCGTCTTCCCCTCAAGGGGTCGATCCCTGTCGTCTGCGGCCCGGCGACTGCAGCCCAAACCTCCCCAGCCTTCCCGGTGCAGCTCGAAGTCAGCCGCGACTCGGCGCCCCAGCACCGGGTCCGAGCTGATCCGCTCCTCCGGAGTCGAGGACTCTCCGTCCCCGGGTACTCCCGAGCAGCGATAGCTCCGCCGGGGCCGCACGACTCACTCACCCGCGGCCGGTGCTCCCCGCGCGCGCTCCTCTCCCCGCCGTCCGCGGCCTCCCAGCGCCGCCGCCTCCTCCCGGCTGCTGCAGCCGCGTCAGCTCGGGACCGCGAGGGGGCAGGGCGGCGCGGGGCGGGGCGCGGCCGCTGCCTCAGGTAACAATGCTGCAGACCAGGCTGCT